AATTTCCCGAAATTCGTCCGAATTCATATTCGGCCCGAAACGAATTGCACATGTCTATTAATTATAAATTAAGTTGACCTCAATAAATGCTTGGGAGATCAATACATCATATAAAAGGTCTATGATCTTAGATTTCTTGACAAAAAACTGGGTACAAATCTGCGCACTAAAAGAAACCCATTGGATGAGATCCAACAAAAATACAATAAGTTCAACAAGATACCCCATCATTATAAGTGCGGCATTAGAAAAAAAAAAAAAGAGGTGTAGCATTTATTTTTGCAAAAAATGTTTCCCTAACTATTAAACATCAAGAATTAGACCCAGGTGGCCGATACATTATTTTAGTATGTGAAATAAATAACAAGTTATTTACACTAGCTAACATCTACGAACCAAGCAAAGCCACAACAAACTTTATTTCAAAAATAGAAAATAGAGCAGATTAACCAAGGGTTAGCAATAATAATGGGGAATTCAATTGTTTAATTGACCCTTTGAAAGATAGAAAGAGCCAATATGAGAGGAAAAGCCAGAAAACAAGGGAGAATAGAATGCAAAACTTATTGAATAATTATAATTTGAGAGATATATGGATAATATTCCATCCATCCGACCTAGACTACACATGCTATTCCAGAACATTCAACTCTTATTTTAGGATTGATTTTATCCTGGGAAACGTGACCATGCTATATCTTGTCAAAAGAATAAACATACAGGATATAGCATGGTCAGTACACAGCCCTATTATTTTGGAATATAAAGACAACTTTGATACTTTCTGCAAAGAGTGGTGCATAAAAGATTTTATACTACAAAAAAAAAATAATGTTGAAGAAATTAAGAAAATAAAAGAGATTTTCTTCTAAGAAAATAAAAGTAAAGGCATAATAGATATCACGGTCTGGTGCGCTTACAAAAGCGTAGCTAGAGGCCACATGAAAAAAATGTTAGCCACCGCAAACAAAAAAGGAACACTGCCCCTCTCCAAATTATATATAATACTAAGTGAATATAAAAGGCAGAATAAAATAACACCTTCCACAAAAATAGCAAGGAAGATTGCAGAAACAGAAAAACAGATAAAAAAACAGTTAATGAACAAAGCAACTAAACAGCTAGAAGTACTAAAATCCAAGTGGTATTTAAAGGGAAATAAGCCAGAAGCATTAGTGAACAACAAACTGAAAAAAAGAGAAACATAAAAGGGTGATATACAAAATAAAGGATAAAGATACTTATTTATTGGCCCCAGAAAAAATAGGAAGTGCCTTTGAAAGATTTTATTGAGAATTATATAACTTACCAGAAGAACTATTCGGTAGGGAAAAAGAGATAGAGAAATTCTTCTAAAGTATAATTAAAGCTGATAAACCAGCCCATAACAGAAGAAGAGGTTAGTAAATCTATAGATAAACTTAAAATACAGACTGTTCCAGGCCCAGACGGCTTTACAAACAAATTCTACAAACTATTGAAAGATCAATTAAAAGGGGAACTAACTACCATCTTTAACTACATAATGAAAACAGGATGTTACCCTGGAGAGCTGTTGAGGGTGAATATTGTCCCCATCCCGAAAGCAGATAAAGACCCAGAACTGATTAGCAATTACAGACCTATTTCATTATTCAATACCGATATCAAAAATACTATCTTATATTTTTAAAAATAATAATACCACAGTTAACCAATAATGATCAAGTAGGTTTCATACCAGGGAGGTCCTCAATCAATAATCTAAGAAAAATAATAAACATACTAGAAGAAACAGAGAACAATGGAACCCCTCTAATGTTACTGTCAATAGACACAGAGAAAGTGTTTGACAGGGTTATTATTATTACTTTTTATTATTATTTTATTATTTATATAGCGCCATCAGACTCCGTAGCGCCGTACAATGGGTTGGATGGGGTTTCATGTTCGCCATCTTAAAACAATTTGGATCAATATTACAAGCCATGTCCGCTCTCTACAGCTCTCCATCGGCAAAAGTAATAGGGTCTGGTTTTACGTTACAAAATTTCAATATTAAAAATGGGACTAGACAAGGGTGCCCTCTTTTCACCTTATTGTATATAATGGTGTTAGAACCCCTTGCGATTACAATAAGACAAAATAAAAAAAGTTTTTACGAATGCAGTAGGACAAATAAAATTAAAAATCTACGCAGACGATATCCTACTATCATTAGAAGGACCAAAAGGGAATTCAAAAACGTACTATCTAAACATAAAATCAAGTCCTTCAATCAAATTATGGAGGAATATAATATTCGCCCCAAAGAGACCTTTAATTATCTGCGAATTAAAGGCTTAATAGCAGAATAGCTCTTTAAAAACAAGGGGGAGACAAGTGTAAATAAGACATACAATGTATATTGCCATTTTCTGTACCAACGGCACACATTTGAACCATGTACGGGCTTTTAATAGACAAGCCTCTATACAGTAATTATGTCATATCCTCTGTCATTGCTAAAATAAAGAATTATAAAAAAAAAAAACAAGGTGGAGAAAAATATAAATCTTATGCAGTTACTTGAACTAAAGAATTATAAAAATCTGTTGGCAAAATGCGCGTTAGGTTATATATAGTTGGAGACACGACAAACCGATAGACCTGATTAATAAATGGGAAAAAGAATTGCAAGTACATATACCAGAAGAAGAGTGGATAGGTTCCCTAAACAAATTATATAAATATATACGTTGCCTAAACCTTACTGAAACACAATTCAAACTCTCAAACAGATGGTACTAGGCATGTGCATGGGGAAAATGTTCGGTTCGGCATTCCGAAATTCGGGACTTCGGCAATTCGACACTTCGGAAACTTCGGGACTACGGCACTTCGGGACTTCTATTGCAGCCGCTTAGTAGATAACTCCCTAATTCCCACGGTATTAGGGAGTTATCTACCAAAAGGCTGAAAGACCTGAAAGACCTTAATTGGTCTTTCAGCCAAATTTACTAATACTAAGTACAAATTACTTAGTATTAGTAAATTTTGCCCCTGCTTGCTATACCGCGAGTAGGGGCATGTCTAGTAAACAGCGCTCACTGTTTAAAAAATGAATAAATAGGGTCCCCCCCTCTCGAGCCCCCACCGGCGTCCCCCCTATCATTTTACTTTAGGGCCCCCACCCACCACTCAGGGGTGAGGGCCAGAGGGAGGACATTAGGTCCCCCCCTCTATTGTGATTTAGGGCCTCCACCCGCCGCTCAGGGGTGGGGGACGGGGGGGGCAATAGTTTTTTATTTTTTACTTTTTTTAACAGTGAGCAGCCACAGGCTTAACAGACATTCCCCTTAATAGACATTCCCCTACTCACGGTAGGGGCATAATTTACTAATACTAAGTAATGTTTACTTAGTATTAGTAAATTTGGCTGAAAGACCAATTTAGTTCTTTCAGCCTTTTAGTAGATAACTCCCTAATACCGTGGGAGGGAGTTATCTACTTATTCATTCCTGTCATTACATTGACAGGCTAAGTAACTTACATTTTATATGAATGTATGTTACTTGATTGTCGTAAGTGTTGCAAATGCTTACAACTGAATCCTGGCTATGTTTGTATACTTTTTATTTAAAATTGTATACAATGTAACATTCTTCTTCTTTCACTGGGTAAGTATATTAGTACTTAGGCAATACTGTGCTTCGGAACTTCGGCACCTCGACACTTCGGCAACTTGGGAACTTCGGCAGTTCAGCACTTCGACACTTCGAAAATTCGGTAATTTCGGAAGTACCTAAATGTCTGAATTGACCGAAATTCGTCCGAATTCATATTCGGACCGAAACGAATTGTACATGTCTAGATGGTACCTAACACCTAAATGTTTAAAGAAAATGTTCCCAGAGGCTGGAAATGCAAAGTTAATGAAGGCAATTTGATCCATGTATGGTGGCAATGCACATCCATAAATACATTTTGGAAAGATATAATCAATGTAATATATCAAATAACGGCAATGAAATTAGTTTTAAAACCTGAAGTGGTCCTGTTAAATGTGAACTGGCCAAAAATGACCAAAAAACACAAATGGTAACGCTACATATTATCACGTCAGCTAAATTACTTGTTAGCACAAAACTGGAAAACAGGGACAACCCCATGCATCCAAGAATTAATCACACAAGTCATATGGCAGGCAAAAATGGAAAGGGGTATCTTGGTGAACCTAGGAAAAAGATATACTTAAATAGAAGACTGGGATATATGGATAAACAAAATGGAAAGGTCTACCTAATAAACAGGACTATAGTTTCAAAGTTCCTCTCGAGACCCTCCTCCTTCTGTGATTCATCTTTATTTACTTTTTTCTTTTTCTTTTTTATCATTATTATTTTTTTCTCCTCTCTGAATATAGTGTGTAATAATCAACGGGGGCATAAGTCACATCCACCTACAGAGAAGGTGAGGGGACAGGGTAGAGGAGGCAAGGAAATGAGATGAACATATAGAATTCCCCAAAATGGACAGATAAACAGAATAAAAATTATTTGTAATATGAAGGATGTAAGATTAGCTCTCTCTCTCCAAAGCAAGCAGAGAAACCAAGATTGATTGACAGGAATTCACAATAGGATTTAACTATCATTGGGGAGGATTGGGGCGAGACACGGGGAGTTTAACATGAAACACTTAATACATTTTAGGAGATATTTATGATGACAAGAGTACCAAGCCTGAATCACAGAGGTATCAGCAAAAATAATATCAGGCAGGTACATGTCTGAACTATTAAAAAAAAAAAAAAAAGATACAAAAAAGAGTACTACGGGGCGGAGCCTGGACACCAAAGGAGCAGGACGTGTAAAGTTTGAGCTCTCCCATCCAGGAGTGACAATCAGCCTACATCAGCAGCATCCCCCAGGCATCCAGCCTTACAAACAGGTTACCCGATACCTACACAGCCACCCATCAGAAATACCAATGGGGGGGGTACCAAAAAAAGGAAGGAACAACCTACCTCAGTGGCCTCGATGTTCCGCACCGCCAGAGAACTAACGCGGCCATCTTTGAGCCAGGAAGCACTAAATGCTCACGACTCAGGCTCGGAATCCAACAACGATGAGGCCACAGAGAGGAGGCAAGAGCCCCTCACGAAGGCAGACCTCCACAACATGCTCAAAGAAGCCACAGCTGATATCAAGGCCCACACAGCAACAGAACTAGAGCGGCACATCTCGTGTATTAAGGAAGACCTCGAGGCCCTCAACACTCGTGCCGCGCAGGCAGAATCAGACATCACACTGCTTCAATCAACCTCATCCCAACATGGGCAAGACATCTACTACCTAAGCGACAAAATACAATAATTGGAAGACAGCTTAGAAGACCTAAACAACCGTTCTCGCAGAAACAATATCAGAATAAGAGGCCTACCGGAAGCAGTGGATGCCGACGCCATTTTGCCCACGCTCCGCGACCTCTTCCACACTATACTCCCGGACTCCACAGAACAGGAATGCGACATAGAACGGGCCCACAGGGCACTGAGACCCCTAGCACTCAACCCCACCTCACCTAGGGACATTATAGTTCGCATGCAGCACTTCGCCACAAAAGAAAAAATAATGGCTGCCACCAGGGCCTCACCGCCAAAATATGGAGCCTTCACATTGGCTTTTTTTCAGGATCTGGCACCATCCACCCTAAAGAAAAGGAGGGACCTGAAACCTCTGACGATGGCCTTAACCAAAAAGGGTCTGAGATATAGATGGGGCCACCCTTTTAAACTACAAGTGCGCCTTGGCGACCAAGACCACGTCCTGCATCACCCGGCGGAAATGGAGGACTTCGCCACAGCCCTGGGCCTCCAGCTCTTCACCGGGACGCAGGCAGCCGACCAGAATAACATAGCTCCTGGAGGAACCCACAAAGCAGCGCAACCATCCTGAAGCCAAGCCAAGAAGCGACCCTCTCCACAGGCTGAGCATACTGACCCAATGGCTACCTGATGAACATTGTATCTGCGGATAAAAGGTTTCCCATGTAGGGAGGCATGCTAGCCGCCGGGACAGGTTCTATATGTTTATTTTCTATATCACCACATGCCACGTAATGTTTTCGCATGCATGAAATGTTTTACGGTACTTTAGTTGTTGTTACTGGGGCCAGGGAGTGAAGCTGCAGGGTCCACCTAGCACCGCTGATAATGGACCACCAACACTGAAAACCAGGGCACCCCCCCCTCTTACCAGTACACGCCTACCTTTCAGACACTACACTTCTCTCTCTTACTTAGGTGCACCAGTTCACATTAACCAAAATTAGAGTTGCATTATATATATATACAAAAATCGGACATCAAAGGGATGTTATGTGCGGTAAAGTCCAGAGTGTAGGTTACACTGAAGGTGTTTAAACAGATGTAAATAAGTTATGAATATAAACTGTTTGTATGATGAATAATTAGTACAATTCAGTAGGTCCAGACACTGGGACAAAGTCGGACGCCCTCCAGACCCAAAGTATTTTAGTGCTCCAAAAACCCCAATGTACGTTAACAGGGCTACAGAACAGCCACATACAACCCAGTAAAGGCAACCTCCACCTTTACCAAGGGCGCCACAACAACATGGCAGAACACACATGGACACCCATTGAACATCAACACTTATCGCCACTAACAGGGGTGACACACTGGCAGACTCGAGGCAACGGCATAAAAAAAATAAAAATATTCTCCCGAGACCCAGAATACTGTATGATTCCCTGCCTCATAACACCACTATAAGCCTGCGCATCTCTAATCCCATAGTGACAAGACATCCCCAATGTGCTCTTCTCGGAAGTGGCAGGATGCATTGCAGGTTACACCCTCTCATGGGGACACTACACCCAACAATGCAGGATTGCTAAAATGGATCTAAACATATACGACCCAGAGAACCCTACCTGATGCTCCCACAACCAACTTCGCTAGAAAGCACCCTCAACCTCAATTACGGCGTTTTGCATATAGCCTACACTCGGGTATACTGCCCACCCCCCAAGTCCAACAATACATATCTCCCCTACAATACAGAAAGGAGGTAAAGGGGACCTTGGACAAGCTCTAAACGGGCAACTAATGGTGTATTGCAAATGTGAAAATGTAAATGTTGTTCGTAAATGTGCCATGTAGTGTACCCACAGACTATTAACAGACCCCACCACAGGCACGACCCCATAGCGCAGACAACAGGCCCCCCCTGGGGACCCTCGGGACGTCACCACAATGGAGTTATTGGGGCCACCAAACCAAAACACCAAGACCCCCAGGGGCGGGAGGAAACCCTGACCCCAACAAGGGACACACACACGGGAACGACACAACATGACACTTACGCTCGCATAACTACCAGACCCATATGCACCACATAATACACCCCAATTCCTGCCACAACCCAAAGAACGCTCCAGCAGACAATGGACCCAACCCAACAGATTACATAAAGGCCATTAACCGACTAGTACTAAATAAGAATAACACCTGTTACATTGATACCGTTACAGAAGCCCTGCCACCCTCTACGGCGATTCCACTCGGACTTCCCCCCCGAAGGGTATGGATAACCTGACGACAAGATAAAACCAAAGGTAAACACACAACACTCCGAAGTGACAGGAGGAGAGAAGTGACACCCCTCTCGACACTTCCAACTCAACCCACACACCCTCATTACCACCACTTACAACGGCTCCCACTGCTTCATACGCGGTTATATAGAGGGAACCGGTTTGGATCAGTACCAAGTACAGACAACCAAACCCCCTCCACCTCCGTCCCCAACACTCCTGGCAACTTCGGTATCAGACCAGGCACATCCCGACCAACCCGTCCCCACATACGCAAATAACCCCACTGAGGCATAAAGCCCCAGAATTTAAACCTTGAAACGACAACCACATACACACACCTTCAACCCCCCCTGCTCCATCCCGCCCCCCCTACATTCTCCCACCCCATAGCCGGGCGCACCGCCCCAGTACAAACGAATAACCCCAGGAAATAACACTCCCTGAGAGATCACCCAGACGCTATGACTACCAAACTCACCTGCATTTCAATTAACTGCAAAGGCCTTAACAACCCAGCGAAGAGACACCGACTCATGAGGTGGGCGAACCGCACAGGAGCGGACATATTACTTCTACAAGAAACTCACTTCACCCAGACCAAACCGTTCCCCCTCCTTAGCCGACACTATAGAGAATACTATACTGCTAACTCCCCCAACACCAAACAGAATGGAGTAGCCATACTGCTAAACGTAAAACAAGTTATAAGAGACCCCCAGGGCAGGTTCCTGACACTCACAGGCCAGGCAGGCCCCAACAAATATGCCATCACAACACTGTATGCACCGAACATCCCTGACAAGTCATTCTGGGACACACTACAGGCCCACCTGACACTGACTCCAGGCCACCTCAAAATTATTGGAGGAGATTGCAATGCTACGATGTCACCGGCGGCAGATAGACACCGCACATGCCGACACAGACAAGGCCTAGCCCCCACAACCAAACTAGATAAGCTGCTACAATCATTCACCCTCCAAACACAATTGGTTGATGTATGGCGAACACTGCACGCAACCGCGCATGACTTTACATTCTTTTCACACCCACACAACTCTTACTCACGCATAGACCTCTTTTTGATCTCCCCTTCCCTCCTACACATGGTCCACACGGCCACCATAGGTAACATAACATTATCGGATCATGCAGACATAGCTCTGACAATAAAAATCCCAAATGTAGCGCGCCCCTGGACCTGGAGACTGAACCCGACTCTGCTTCATAACCCCCTCCTGAGAGACACTATTCACAAAGACATGTCAGAATATTGATATATTGATATATTGAATATTTGATTTATATGCGGCAGAATATTGCCGCACATAAATCAAAGACTTCATGGCCAAGGACTCAGCCAAGGCATTACAATGGTCGAAAACAAACTTACTACGAAAAATCGAACAAAGCAGACACTTTGCTAGCAAGAAAACTTAAACGTAGGGCAGACCAAAAAAGAATAGACAAAATACAGACACCGGAGGGAACTACGCACTCTCTCCCATCAAAAATAGGAGAGGTCTTCCAAAGATACTTCACCACACTATATGACCACAGCCCAGACGCGAGACAACACCCGGACATAATGCTAGAGTCCATAAACACATATCTGCAAAAAATACCATTACTGGCCCTGAAACCAGAAGCGATAGCCATAGAAGAAGTAGCCAAAGCCATCAAAAACACAAAGCCCAATAAAAGCCCCGGACCCGATGGTTTCTCGGGTCTTTATTACAAAACTTTCCCCACCACACTCCTCCCACACCTATGCTCACTCTTCAACTCTGTGATACAGGGGAACCCATTACAGCCAGACATGCTCCGAGCCAACGTGTGCCTACTCCCTAAACCAGGCAAATCTCACCTGGATCCAAGCCACTATAGACCGATTTCTCTACTGAATGTAGATGTCAAACTACTCACTAAACTGCTCGCAGATAGGATAAACCCATACATACATAGACTTATTCACCCCGACCAGGTCGGTTTCATACCCCACAGACAAGCATACAACAACACAAGACGGACTTTCGACCTCCTTTGGACCGCGACACACCGACACATCCCCGCCCTCTTTCTCTCGCTAGACGCCGAAAAGGCTTTTGACCGACTCCTATGGCCTTTTCTGTTCGCTACCCTCCGCAAATTTCAGGTACCTCACACAATTCTCAACGCGCTCCAAACTTTGTATTCCTCTCCAGAAGCAAGCCTCCTCATCCCTAACACACAGCCCCCCTCTTTCCGCATTTTCAACGGAACCAAACAGGGATGCCCCCTCTCCCCACTATTATTCGCCCTCTCACTGGAACCCCTCCTCCAAGCTCTCAGGCTCGACCCCACAATATCGGGCATGCGTATAAGAGGGGAGGAATACAAAGTGGCAGGATACGCAGACGACCTCCTCCTAACTCTTACTGACCCAACACAATCTCTCCATCCACTACTTCACGCCCTAGGCGAATACACCAAAGTCTCAGGCTACCGCCTCAACCTAGATAAGACAGAGGCCCTACCAGTCCAAATCCCAGCTGACGAGCTGTCCCACCTACAGACCAGCTACCCTTTCCATTTCAACCCATCACATATACACTACCTAGGCGTCAACCTCCCAGCAGATGTCACCCAAACCTATCACCTATTAAAGGGGTATCCCTTTAATACAAACAGCGCTTGCAGATCTCAAGACGTGGGAGACCTACTCTATTTCCTGGCTGGGAAGAGTGGCCTGCATCAAAATGAATCTCCTACCGAGATTCCTGTACCTGAACCAAACGCTACCATTCCAGGTGTCGATCAAAGATTTCAAAGGACTACAAACGCAGATTGACTGCTTCATATGGGCAAACAAACGCGCCAGGATTAGGCGAGACATCCTATATCTCCCGACCAGGGCCGGGGGACTAGGTCTACCTCATTTCCTACACTACTTTCATGTGGCCCAACTAGCCCAAATTCAGGCACTACACGCCCCCATAGGACTCAAACGGTGGGTAGATCTGGAACATTACCTATTTGGCAGGGACTTCCCGACCCTATACATATGGCTACCATGACAAGCACGTCCAAAGGCCCCTCAGACCACACCAGCACTCACCACCTCCATAGCCATATGGAACAAACTCTCTTTACAACACGCACTCACATCGGACTCATCACCCCTGGCACCAATACTAAGAAACGAACAATTTTTACCGGGCATGACCCCGCGAGACTTTGCTCACTATGAGGATAACAACCTCCACAGAGTATACCGGTTCTACAAGGACCAACGATTGATTCCTTTTACAAAACTGCCCCAAACAGTGCCACTCACCACACGCGACTATTTCTG